CACTCTTTGGCCCGTTGAAGTAGCTGTGGCCTGTGGGTGGGTACAGAATTTGGAGATACTGTCGTTGGAATAATAAAATTCGCGATAGTTGTAAGTCAAAAGCTTAGGATTAAGGATATGGATTAGAAATAAGGCTGGGTGCTTTGGCGGGAATGTTTAAAAGTTTGAGCTTCTAGTTATCCTTCACGAACGCTGTAAATGGATATGCTGGATAGCCGGTATTCACTATGGACCCACGTTAGCCAAAAACACATGGACACAAATTAATTTTTAATGATTTCAAGCTTTGGTCAGAAAAAGGAATAAATTATTGATTTATTGTGAAATGGACCTACATTTCTTAAATCTGGTGCAATTAAATTTATATTGATGACGTTACAAAAAACTACTCCATTCACGGTTCACTCTACCATCAATAACCCTTGATAAAACCTATTCAATTGGTATGTTTAAATAATTTTGTAATGTTTTGTGTTTCATTAATGAGAAAAATTAATATATTTTAACCTGTTAGGAGGGTTTTGTAGTGTCATTGCAAAAAGCTCATTATCAGCAACTCTCAAGAAATCGTGCAAATTCGTTATGTTTCGTGGTATCTGAAGGAAAAACATACGTTTTAAACGCCGCATCATCTTTACACTCTGTAGAAATGTATAATTCTCTGCAACTTGTGACTGCTTGGACATATTACTCATGTTACCGGGAGTCATGTGGCCGCCTTGAAGATTTTGTTTTCTGTCGCCAACCACGGACCGAGACCCGATAGCCGGAGTGCCATGGATTTTTTAATATATATATTTTTTTTAAAGGAAAGTGGGATACATTTTGGACCAGTAATATGTTGGATGAAAAATAAAAAAAAACCTCAATTTGGTGAAAAATATAACATATGTTTATTTTATTTTAATAATGAATTAATTTGGTGCCGAGAAAGCCGACTGGCATAAAACTCGGTCAGAGTAGAATAATAAGGGTGGACATTAATTAAATGGTTATTATAAATAATAATAATACAAATAATAGTAGATACCTCCCCAAGCGGTTACCGGTGGGCGTAATAATAATAATAATACCATTTTTTAATAATAATATATAGTTCTCAACGCTCGGTTCCGACCAAGCGGTTTACCTGCGGGAGAAATATTAAATAACCATAAAGTTCCGGCCACGGTGAAAATAATAATACCTAGTAGATACAAACATTACCATATTTAGCAAGGTGTTTTTAAATGTGTCGCCCCTCGGTGCAAAAGAAAAAAACGGCTGCTACTCGCTCATGTTGTTGCTGAGACGAAAAAAAAAACGAAGTGCAGTGCTCTTGGCTTGGTTGGCCGGTACGGCGGTACCTTGCTGCAGTGGTGGCACGAACAGGCGACAGGTGAACAGAGGGCGTCACATATAATAAAGAGATAATGAATGGCCGATACTCTATGCCAGGGGTGGCGAACCTTTTTTGGGTCAAGTGCCAAATTTTTCAAATCAAGGTTTTGAAAATTGTTCACGTGCCCAAAGGAAATTATATTTTTGATAAGCATAAAAATAAAGTTACGGATTTATTAAATTCTTTTCCGTCGTCCGTCGGTTTAAACATGTCACGTATGTATGGCTGTTATCTTACATATCCTATTATAACCAAAATATTATCTATATATATTATATATAGTATAATTGTTTATAATTTTAATTTAAAATTTGACCAACGTGGTATCTTTGGCATGCTTGCCATAGGTTCGCCACCAATGTTGCCAGATGTACGGTTTGGATCGTACTTATACGGTAATTTAGAGCAAAGTACGATCTACGATCTTACTTTGAGGACCGTACGTAAATGTACGATCTTACAAATTACAACAGACCATTGACATTTATTTAGATTTATGCTAATCATACGCTATGGATGGGGCCATGCCCATCTCAACCGGGTAAACAATTTGAAGCACATATAAATATATAAATATATGATTACCTATATTATATTATATTATATTATGATAACTGATAAGATATATCTTAAATCGTGATTTACCTTGTATTTTTTAGCGTTCTTGATAAGACTACAATATTTCATAACTTGATGATAAGTGCAATCAAGAGTAAAGACATAAAGTGATTAGAAAAGTTATACTAAACTCATAGTTACTGTCTAGCAGTGGCGTATTTGGGGGGGCCATGGGTGTATGCCCCCCCTTGGCATTTTTATTGGTGATGTTTTAATCACGGTTATATCCTGTATATAGGTAATAAAATAATATAATATTTACACAAGTGATATTTAATATTTATTTCGTATTTTAAATTTTTATCAACGTTACGAAAAAGTATTGATAATGATAGCGGCCAATTCTTGTAAAATTAATATACCACGGTTGTAGTAATACACTGATATCACACTATAACACGGAATACCATCTACGTTTGTCATATTATCAAAATTATTGTGGAGGTAGCCACGTTATGTTTGCGGTTATCTCCAACGGGCATCAGGAACTTCTCTAAAATGATAACCAAAAAGACGCGAAGTACTGAATTCCGAAGTGTGGTACAATTACAAATACAAATCATCTACAATTAAGATTATTTTATATTATTTTATTATAAACTGATTGTTTCATTATGAAGAGAATAAATGATTATTTTACAACTAATAAATCTTATAAATCTGAACATTCTGAAGAAAATATTTTAGTTACATGTCCTACTAAAAAAAATAAACATCAGAAAATGATGAACAAACACAAATTGATGATAATCAACATTCCATTAATGGTAAGTAAATTAAAGATGTTCCAATACTTTTTTCCATTCCTTATAATTATTATTTTTATATTTTAGTAGGTACCTATTTCAGATTTTAATTTTATTATATTATTATTTTGATGACTGCTCCTTTTTAAGTTTCAGAAGAATTAGATATTGGAAATTTGTTTGGATTAAAAATAGATGACCATACTAAAGCTGCCTTGTTGAAACGTTCAAATGTACCAGATGAACATTTCATTTACCCATTTTCCATTCATAACAAAAACGGTAAACAACTTAAGCGTTATTTAAGGAAAAATCACTTTGAACAATTTACATGGCTAGAATATTCAAGATTAAAAAATGGACTATTTCTTAAGTGCTGTATACTTTTCCTAACATCTGAGTATGGCGGTCGAAGAGGTACAGAAAAATTAAAACGAGTTATTACTGAGCCGTTAAACCAGTTTGCCAAATTATTAGGAAAAGATTTATTTTTGTTAAATGTCCCTAATGTTTATTATTAGTAGACTTTAATTCAGACTATAAACTACTGCTTTAATATTCTTCAGTTAAGACTATGTTATTTACTAAGATAGTTATTAAACATTTATTTAGTAGTTAATTATTCTTATTACTTATTATTCATAAAATATTCACTACTTATAATTAATAATTATGCATATTTATTTATATAATATTTTATAAATAATTAAATTGCTTACATTTGATTTAGCTTTTACCTCTGCTTTTATGCTGTTGCATGATGCTTTGTTTTCGATTAAAAACTTGGTTAAGAGCAAAGATGGGTGAGAAACGACTAACTGGTTTGACTTTATTAAATATCCATAGAGATATTGAAGTGGACGTTGAATCAATTATAGATCAATTTTCAAAAGTAAAAAATAGATCTATATTACTATGAAAATTGTTGTAAATATTTTTTTTTTTTTGATTTGTTGTACAATTTATATATTTATATATGCATTTTATTAACCTATATGCATTTCTTAATTTAGTTTTATTATAACCAATCAAGGACTCGGCTGCATTAGCCGAGATAGGAGTATTACATGACTTTAGGATTTAAGTATAATATGAATAGAATACATTTTTTTTATAACAACAAATAAATGGTAAGCAATAATCAGTTAAATACATTAATGTACGGTTAAAAAAAATAAATGGAAAATTTTGAATTCCTCACAATATTTTGTGGTGTATTACAATTTTTAAATAGCCCCTCCCTTGATTGAGCTTCAGCTACGCTACTGCTGTCTAGTTAGTAGTCTTTGTTGGTGTTGCGTCTTTCTATTTTCTATTTGCAATGTCGGGCATAGAAGATACGCCAGAGGTTTGTTTAGATTTTATTAGTAATTTGATTAATCATTTATATAATATATTTGAGATAAAATACTCCTAACCAAATTATTTACCATAGGTGTTTGAAGAAGAAGGACCGTCGACACCAAAAAAGAAAAGATCTCTACGGAATGAACTTTCTAAACATGAAAAAGAAAAACACAGAAAGCAAAAATATAGAGAAGAATGGGAATAAGGCATATAAAGGTTGGCTTAAACCTGAAAGGGATAATCCCTTTAAGGCCAAATGTATTATATGCAACGTGAGTTTTGTTTCTGAACTGAGTTGCATTAAAAAACATTGTAATAGTTCTAATCATATAAAGTCACTAAAATGTAGTTTGTCTCACTCTAAAAATATTGTCAAATTTTCAATCAATGGCGAAATCTAATCCTTTAAATAATTCTATCAAAACCGCAGAAATTAAATTATCTGCTCTTTTAGCTGAACATAACGTAGCATTTCCATTAATCAACCATTTGACGCGGACACGATGATTGCTTCAAGGTTGATTGTGGTCCATTCGAAGTGTTTAGTTAGGATTGAGGTGATGAAAAAAACACAACACAAACACTTTAAGAATGTCACAAATTATGTATTATAATATTGCGACCAAAATATAATAATACATGACGTGCCGCTCGGGCAGATTAGTTTAACGTCGGACGATATGTTATCGGTCCGACGGTCCGATGGTGGATCCCGAATCGCCTTTTCCGCCGACCGTTGTACGTCCCCCCGTCCCGGTCGCGCTGCTTGCATCCCGTGGTGGTGGTTGGAGATAAGATAGACTGGTCGCTATAGTGCTTGTACATTGTACTTGCTACTAACGCGGGCCGCGTCACATTTAGAGCCCTTATTAAAAGAAATTTTCCCAGACTCTAAAATTTGTAAAGAAATGAAATTGAAACGAACTAAAGCTACAAACATTATTAAAAATGTAATTGCGCCTGTGGAAAAAGAAATATTAAGTCTAAAATTGAATAAGAGTAAATTTTCAATTATGATTGATGAGTCAACCGATGTTGCTTGCATATCTAATATGTGTGTTGTAGTAGTGTTTTTTGATACAGAGTCCAAGATCATTGTTACAAGGTTTTGGGACTTAGTACAGGTCTTTGATGTAAAAGAACCAGAGACAGTTAATAAAGGAGCAACTTCGGAAAATCTGTTTAATAAATGTATTCACTATTCAGTCATTTGAAAATCATAATGTTGATGTAAAAAACATTGTTGGATTTGGTTCAGATGGCTGTTCGACAATGATGGGGTCTAAAAATTCTGTTTCAAGCCGGTTGAAAATCACATTCCCGGGAATCTTCATAATGAAAGTATTTGTCATTATCTTAATTTATGCTGCAGCAAAGCATGCAAGTCCTTGCCCCGAAGAATTGAAGATTTTGCTCGGAATGTGTTTAATTTTTTCAGCCACAGTAGTAAGCGACAGAGCCAATATATAGAATTTCAAAACTTTTTCAATATTTCTGTACATAAATTGTTGCACCCATCTCAGACGAGGTGGTTGTCGCTATTTGCTGTTGTCCAGCGTATTTTGGAACAGTGGATGGCTTTACATTAATATTTTAATGAAAAGCGGTTTTCAGAAAAATTTGTTGCAGCAGAAAATATTTATACCCAGCTGAATGACCCTTTTACAAAAATGTATTTTTTTTTCTTGGAATGGGTATCGCCAAAATTCAGTACATTAAACCAGTATTTCCAAACTGAGCAAGTGGTATTGAATAATTTAAATGAAAAAAATGGAATTCGCTTACAAGGAATTATTACTATGTTACATGAAAAGGGATTATGTTCTCCAAACTCAATACAACATTTTTTTTTTACAACATTTTTTTTCATAACATGCCAAGTAAAAAGTATGTCCATAATTTAAAATACTTTTGTTCAATAAGAAATTGTACAGTTAATACTCCCATTTTATTCTCTGTTACCTACATTATTTTTATAGTACATGAACCCAATATTATCCCTTATTATTTCTGTGCCCCTTTGAACTCATAAAACTACAGTGTAGAACTGGTCTTTCTACAGCAACCGGAAGCGGAGCTTTAACAATTATTAACAATTAAAAATAAAATGTAACCTTAGAAGCATACTAAATAGCAATCCTGCATCCGGATTATGAGGATAATTCAGTCTTATTTTTAAACTAACGGAGTTAAAAGTGATTTTCTGAAAAATTAGGTATGTTACGCCCTTCTAAGACGGAGATAACAAATGTCCGTGTAACGTCCTTTTATTAAATAATAATAACTTGCCCTCGAATGTAAGGATATCTAAATCAAATGACTGATGAGCTGGTGGAGTATTTTGATCGTGCTGCGACAGTGAATTAACCAGTCTTTTTGTCGGATCCCTGACATTGTGACTTCAAGACTGGCATGTAAGTAGTATAAGTGAATCTGTTTGATAATTAAATATAAATTTCATAACATACAGTGAATCACTTACAGTTTTGTTTAAAACACAATCAAAAATAATATACATCTACAGATTTGATACAAACGTGGTCCATTTTTTAGCGTCACTTTGAATCCACTGCAATGAGACTGTGGAGTCTGTCCTCATTGGTACTGCATCGACTTGAAGTTAGGTGAAGTGATTCAAGTAGTGTATGCATCAATTGTGCTAGCAGTGTAGTACCACACAATTCCAGCTTCGGTATTGTGATTTTTTTCAAATTGGTGACCCGAGTTCTTGATACCAATAAATGTAAAGTGCTATTGGCAATAATGAGGATAGCGGCTGCATAAGCATGTTCCGAGCTGTCTGAAAAACCATGTAGAACGCAGCCTAGTTGGTTGTCCAATGTGTTACAAGACGTGCAATTTCAAATTGCTTTAAATGTTTGTATAATGTTCGATGAGCAATCCAATGTTCTAGGAGTTCTTTTGACACAGGGTCATCCTACATGGTTCCAGTCTGCCAAAGTCGTTGCATGAGGAGCTTAGCAACTCTTGTCAGTGGTGCCAATAGGTTATAGATGCGTGCAATTTTACCTAATAACTCACGTTTAGTAATGCGTTTCAAATGTGGTGTAGGTTCTACTTTAAACGAGAGAGTATCTTTTGTTGTGTTCCATAAAATCTCCAACACTGATACACTGTTTTGGTCGGGAATCGAAGTCTGCAACAGTTGATGTTTAGCTTTGATGTTTTCTAAGAGAGTAGTTGTGTTACTGGCCCACTTCCTTAGATTAAATCCATCTCTTCGAAGTAGATTATTTAACTGCTGTATTTGAGCTTTGGCGTCTTTCACGTTGTTATATCCAGACAAACGTAGAAGTCACTTTTGAGCACTGTGGATCCTTCTGGATATTTTTTTAATCAACAGCGAGTGGAGCTAGTGTACGTAGAGCATGAAATGGAGATGTTATTAAACCATTAGTAACAGTTGTCAGGTCAGCAGTATATATATTTATGCATCCAAAATATTGTGATAATTCTTACTATGTCATGCTGTAGCTTATGACCTCGATGTAGCATAGCGTTCAATGACTTCCCATTGCACACGATAGCAGATCCGTCAAAGACAACTCTTAGTTTTGTGGTGACGCTTGATGGACGTGAGACATGATGGTGCAGTAGAAAGATGATCGGACTCTCTTCAGTGATTTTTATAAGTGCCACATGGTTCTGTTGAAGATAGTCAGTTATGAAATGTCGATACTGGTTGTACACAGATGAATTTCGAAGAAGGGACCTCTTCACCTGAGCGAGTTTTCTTACAGCAACTTCATATGAATTGTTCACCGATTGTGGAGTCTCCTTAAATGGTAATTGTACAGCGTAACGTCCACTTTCATTAAGTTTGAATTTTTTTAGAAAGTGGTTTTCACAAAGTTGATATTTTTTGACATAATCGTCATTCTATGAATTTCTTCAACCTTCCAGAAATGTTCGATTTGTTTTTCAAGTTGCTGATAAGTGGTAAAACAGGTAATAATACTGGTTGTGGTCTGTGTTGGATCAGTTTTTGCACTGTTGTTGCTGCGACCGACAACAATCCAACCAAACTTTGAATTTTGTAGTACCGGAGCACCTTCTGGTCCAAACTGTTTACCATCTTGTACAATTTCATAAAACAGTTAAGCTCCTATGAGTAAATCAATTTTGCCTGGTAAATGGAATGTAGGGTCGGCTAGTTGTACGCCTTGTAAATTATGCCAATTTGATGTTTCAATTTTACCAACAGGTAAGTCAATGGTAATGCGTGGTTTGACCAAGGCACTAATTTGATATGGCTTATTGTTTAAGCGTGATGACACAGTGAACTCGGCTTTCTCGCTGATAGTTGTCTCTGCTGAGGAGATAACGTTGACGATCACTTGAGCATTTATTCCGTCAATACCTAGTTCTGTTGTCAAAGATGATGTAATAAAATGCGATTGCGATCCAGAATCTAGCAGAGTCCGGCATAATACTGTTTTTCCGTTTCTGCCACTGATTGTAAAACGGGCCCTAACAAGTACTAATGCCGTTGACAGTATTACGGTTAGTTTAGGTGTATATTACATAATTAACCTAACCAAATAAATATTAACAAAAATATAGGTATAAATCAAGTTTCTAAGTACTAAAATAAACACTAATAATAGTAATCACATTTAAAATTGATTCTGTGTCGTTGTCAAACAAAATATATAGACAGCCTTAAGATTAGGGTTAATTTAACAACATATCAATTCAAAATTTAAAATAATTCAAATTCAAAATTTACGTCTAAATTATAACATAAATATTATAATATCCTACTAAGATTTTATTATGAAACATCTATAAATAATGCATATTAAGATCATAATAATAGTCATAACTCATAAACATAAATTAATATTATGTCCCACCCGCATGTGTTCTCTTACACTCATACGACATAGTACATTTTTGTTTACCAGATTCAATTTTGTGCTGTTAATTTTGATATAACAGTGAATTTACCTATTATAAAATTTTAAGTTAAGATTATCATTTAGCGCCCAATGTAGGCTTTTATTGATATTATTATTTTAAAATAAGCTATGATCATTTTAAAATGTACGGTTTCAAAAAGGTTATAACTTACTTAAAAATAATAATATCAATAAAATCCTACACGGTGCCCTAGATAATAATCTTATCTTTAAATTTTATAATATGTCAACTCACTCTAATATCAAAACCAATAGCACACTATTGAAACTGGGAAACGAACATTTAGTTTGTCGTACATGTGTAAGTCGGGGACAACAAATGTGGGTGTGACATCCTCTAAATATTGAAAATAGGTCATACTCTTTAAACTATATAGGTTAAAGTTTTGAGTACTTATAAATATAATATGTTTTCTCCTTTCCTGTAACAACAAACATAAAACATTTAAATTGTAATTACTCTTTCTAACACAATTATTATCACATAAAGATTAGTTGACATTTATGAAACAATTATGAAAAATGTAATTTTCAACCATACATATGACATTTTCAGGGCCCATCGTCAGAAACCAATATCTCCAAATATAATCAATTAAAAAATCATTTAGTTTCACAGCTAAATCAGGGAATTGATTAATATATTTTATATCTTCATTGAAACCATCTTCCATTGACGGTAAAGCATCAATTATTGTGGCCGGTAAGTATGGCAAAGATAAAATCTATGCATAAAAATAAATAAATAATTTAATTATCTCATTTATATTTAGTATTATTAATTATTTACTATTCTTAGTATACAAATTGCATTCAAATTTGATGTTATTAAATGAAAAATTTGAGATTTTTTAACTCTAGTGTAAACTATAACTGCCTATAAATATTACTTATTATTAATAATACATTTTTTCAGATTCAACAAAAAGAAAGCTACTATTTACCTGGCAAAAATGAAAATAATATCCTTGGGTTTTACTCACCGGAAATACTATTTTTGCAGCATTAATTAGACTATACTCATAATCTATTATTATGATTAAATCTGCATAATTTAATGGTAACACACTTCTGACATACCTCAGAAGTTGTATAAAAATATTTTGTATTTTGCCCGTGATAATAGCATGGACAAGTGGGAAGCTCTATAAAACAAAAATAGTATGCATATTATTAAACTGGATTATTGTATAATAATTGAATAAATATTAACAAACTTACAACGTTTTTGAACAGGATATGGAATGAAAATATCTGATAAGCATCTGTACGGGCCGGGTACGAACAGAAATAGACCGTGCGCCCGGTCACCAGAATTCTTTGGGTGCACTCTGTACACACCGACCAACCTGTGTTATGGTGTGTGTATTTATGTATAACACTCAACAGGAAGTGGACACTGGACAGGGCAAATCTGGTGAGTGCTAGAGTGTAAATGAGTGTATGTTGTGATGTGTGTGCTTAAAACTAATGGACAACTGGGTAACCTTAAATATTCAATAACAGGAGGTTTAGGTACTAAGTTGCTGTTTAATTAATTATTTTGATAATCCACAATAATACAATAATGTATGAAATATAATAATAAATGACCCTTCCGGCCTTACAGAATCATAATAGTATATGATAAAAATAATAATATGAACAACTCACAAATTTGTCGGTGAACCGCTGGCCAGGTGGACAACCTGTGCTATATAATAATTTTTCAATATTGACACATAACGATAGTATAAGTTAGCAAAAAATAATAATATAAATCGGTGGCTATTCGATCCACACAATAATATTTTAAATAACCCGACGATTAGAGACGTGGTATATATTTATAATTATCAACAAAATAATAAAAATGTGCAAGCGGCTATTCGAGCCGGCGCTAATAATATATTGTATATTTTATATAATATTATAAAAAACAAAGTTGATATCCGGCTATTCGAGCAGAATCATAATATATAAAAACAATGCACACTAACTATTAGAATTAGAGCGAATAAATAAATGATTTTGTTACGAATCACGGCTGTTTGGGAAAGAACGATATAACATTATTTACCGACGATTCGCAAATGCGATTAATATAGGTACGTGTCGACTGTGTGCGACGAACGAACTGCCGCACCGCACCTGGCCTTTGCTGGCCGATGCCTGGTCGCGGCCTAATCTACCTACTGGGTATTATATAACAATCTTAAAAATAAATGATAATTATAACGAACGTGTGCGTGTGTGTGGTAGTCTGTGAGATATAATAGTGCGTACTTACATGCGAGTAGCGGTGACGACGGAGCGAACATTCTCCCCCCGTTGAAAGTGATGGCTTTCAACTTGCACCTACTTCTGTTTGAGTCGACGTCCGTAAGGTTACCACTCTGACTATTCCATCGATACCTGGGTGCACTTGCATTATACGTCCTAATTTCCATTTGGTGGGTGGTGTGCAGTCTTCCTTTATAACTACTATGTCGTCTAAGCTCATGTTTTTCCTGGGTGTTACCCATCGTCCTCGAACTTGGAGCTGGGATACTCCTTGTGCCAGCGTTTTAAAAATATCTGCATCAAGCTTTGGACGTGCTTTCATCGGCGGAGATTGCTCACTATCTCACCTGGTATATCATGCTCAGGTGGTAGGAGCAATGGACCACCGATGAGGAAGTGAGCTGATGTAAGAGCGTTGAGTTCTCCTGGATCATTACTTAGTGGCGTCATAGGTCGTGAGTTGACACATTCCTCAATCTGGCATAACAATGTCTGCAACTCCTCTAGATTCAGCCGGCTATCCTTGTTAATTGTTGTAGATCGTTATACTGGATAAGTTACCTACATCGTAAGTATTTGATTAAAAAAAAAGTGAGCCGTCGCGGGACGCCTGGCAGATGTGAAACATAAAACGTTGTTTAAGTTGTTCTCTGTGTAGTTCTCTATATTTTCGCTGACGCTCTTTTTTATGAGCACTCTTCATGTCTACACTGAAATTGTGAAAATTGAAACGAAATGTTGAATAAAAATCAGTTTATTATCAGAGCAATGAAGGTAGTTATAAAATCTTACTTTTCACTGGGATTTTCGTTATGCGGTACGTGTTCTGTATTATTAAAATCAGTGTTGGGCAAATCGTAATCTGATTAATGATTAAAGATTATGATTAAAAATTGTAGTTGTTAATCATAATATAAATTAATGTAATCAATAATCACAATAACAAATTATTTTAGATGATTAAAGTCATAATGTAATCGTAGTATTGATTACGATTACAAAATATGTTAGTTCGTAATCATGACTAATTTTTAATGATTAATGATTAATGATACTTCAATAATGAATTTGGGCTGAATAACTTATATATTGAAGTACTGTCATAGCCGAGCGGCATAAGACGGCTGTGCGTAAACGGACAGTCACTGGTGACTGGTTCGAATCCGGCAACCGGTGGTTTCGCTTTCCGGGCGATGTTATGAATACATTTAACACGTGAAGGCAAAATTAACAATAAAATAATAAAAAAAATGCATCTTATAAACAAAATACTTTCTTTTAATTAACTTATTAGAAAATAGAAATCAATAAATATAAATAATAATATGATAATAATAATACAATTTAAATAGTAAATTCGATTTATTTAGGTGCATGCTATACAACAACTAACAATAATATATGATAAATACCAACGGCAATCCCAAGATGTAGAATTTGAAACATATTTATTTTTTACAATAAATTTGCTTTTAACACAACACGTTTTTCAAATAAATTATCTGATAATTTATGGCTTTTTGGTTGATTTGTCATAGTAGCAAATGAGAAGAGTCTTTCTACCGGAGCTGACGATGGGAGCGGAGTATTATATTGAATAAAAACTTCTTTGATTGTTGGATATTTGTTTAGGTTAGGAAGGTCATTTTCTTCATCAGCAAAAAAATGTAAAACTTCTAATTCTAATTTTGGTATACTGGTTAATGTTAAAGAAGAAGATCCAAAGTCGAAAAAGTCGTCAGTTGTTTGGTTTTCAGGAGAATTTTTTAATTCTATGAACGTATTTTTCCCAATAAGAACTTCATTGGCTGTTTTTTTGAAAATTTGTATGAGCCTGTCATGAAATTGAGGCTTAACGCATGTCAACCAACGTTTTTTAAAACGTGGATAAGACAATGCTGCAATAACAGCATTAAGAGATTCTGGAGAAGTGAAATTTAAATAATTTCGAAATCTTTTCTCAATACTTTCTAACAAAGCATGGACTATAGGTTAGCAATATATCCAAGTATGATGGTCGGGTTTTGCTAATATTTCGATTTTTCTTCTCAACGCTAATAGACACGGTAATACTACACCATAATAAGTATTTAATTCCCCTTGCATTATATCTAACGCTTCTGAAATTTGAGCTGCACACCTTAAGTGTTCTTCAATATAATTAAAATCTTGATCCCGTAAAGCATTTTTGGTATTTATTTCTAGAGCTCTATTTAAATTTAAAATATTATTTTTGATGCTTAATATTTGTCGAAGTGAGTCGTATAAACTATTCCATCGGGTCTCTCCAGGTCTACTTAGGGTATGTCCTAATATATTTTGTATTATTTCGGCTGATTTAGGCCGTCCGGGTAATTTCCAAAGAATATTACATTTATTTATTACTTGGTCGTGTATTGAAGACAATTCAACACAGCTTTTTATGACTTTATTTATATCTGTAGTGGCACATAAATTTAGAGTATGAGCAAAACATCTAAAATGCATGGGCAACATATTTTCGATATCAATTGTGTGACCTACGTCATTTTGTGTATTATTTTGATTTGATTCTAAATCAGACTCTGAGTTATCAACTGAATACCTTCAGTTCTGAATTACCTCTTCGACCATATTGATGTTTTGTCTCTTAACTCCAAACATTTTAAACGCCTTAACGAAATTGCTGCCGTTATCAGTAATCGTTGCTATAATCTTAGTAGAAGCCAAGTTAAATTCTGAATTTATTTCATGAATTAAATCAGAAATTTTGTCATAAGTGTGACTACCTTTAAAACGGCGACATGCTAACGCTTTTGAAATCCTATTTAAATTATTTTTTGAAATCCAATGAGCCGTTACCCCGAGAAAACTTCTTTTTTTTCCAGACCAAATATCTACTGTAGTGCAAACAAATTTTACATCGTTAAATTCTTCTTTAATTTCTAGTATATTTTTTTCATACAAAATATCAATTTTTCGACAAAAAGACCGCCGACTTAAAACATGAAGTCCACAATCAGATATGTTTAAAGTGTCAAACATTTTTAGAAAATATGGGTCTTCTACACACCTCAAAGGAATCATTGAATGTAAAAAAAAATTTATCATATCAGCTTCGAAGTTTTCCTGGGTTGTTTTAGTTTTCAATTGTTTCAGTTTTAATTTTTTTATTTGGCCTTTCAGTTAATTTTAAATAAGTTTTGTATTCTTCAATAGCATCTGGGCCATCTCACCGTTTTAAATGAGTGACAAAGTTAGAAGATGAATTTCCATAACCCTTCAACTCTACAATTTTCGGCTCACATTTAACGCATTGCACAACAATTTTATTTTCTAATGATTTTTCATTTAAAATCTTAAAAAATTTACCATCAATTGACCGTGGAGGTGGAGGATGAGACGGAGTTGGTACAGATAAAAACATGCTAGAGCTCTGAGACACAGAATATTCTTCACTGTCACTCATTATATTATTAAATTTTTGTAGAGTACAATGTAATATATGTATTATACGAGATTAAACCAAAAATTACGAAATGCAATGAACACGGAATAATAAAGCCAACTAAATAGGTACCTACTCATAATATTTTATTGTACGTTTACCGAATTAAAGTAGATATGAGGTAGATATGAAGTTATATCTATAGAAAAATACCTTATAACATGCATAAGATAAGATATATGAAATTAATTAGACTTAATGGACCTTAATATCGTTGATATTTTGGAAATTCATACTATTTTAAGTAATATCATATAAAAAAAAAAACAGTTTTGCGATAAATTTTGCGATAAAGATTAACGATTACAAATATGTAATCATGATTACTGATTACTTTGAGAGATGATTAAACGATTAATGATTAATGTAATTTAATAAAGTAATCGTAATCGATTACGTAATTTAATCTTAAATTAATCGATTACGCCCAACACTGATTAAAATCTGAACAGCTTGTCGTAGGTTGGAAAGGTACATTTTGTTTACTTTTCCTTCTTTCTGCTTCAAGTTGTTTTAGTTCTTCACGGTGCTGTTCCCTGTATCGTTGTTGCCGACCTTTTTTACTAATATACGTATTATATATATATAATATAATATAATATAATATAATATAAAACAGTATATATAAGTAATATATTATAATATATTTATATCATATATAATTTAATATATTTAATATATTTAATATATCGATTACGAATTATTAAACAAAAGTATTTTTTTCAACACGCACATGCACATCGCGTTTTATTATACGCTATTGCCCATGACGTGTTAGATTTTTCTAACAATATATTTTTATATAATTCCATGAAAAATGAATTCTATTTTTTCACAAATTATATTTATAACATTTTAAACTGGCCTTAATAATATCTACTAATCAAATTTTTAGTATAACCGCTTCAACAATAACAAGCGTCCATTTAGATTTTAGATCATTGAGTTAAGTTACTATCTATAGCACCACGATAAGCACCATTCGAATACCACTTATCACATTTCGTTTACTAACCATATTAAGTCATAAACATAATTTATAACTAATATCTATTCATCTAATTAGTATTTTACTTCTTCACTATCTAGTAATATAAAGACGAAGTTATACAGATATCATTCTTATTAAAATAAACAAACTAACCTTCGAATCAGTAAATTGTGAATCGGGATATACATCAAAAGCACATGACCTCGCACATGACGGAGGCTTTTCACTCCGACCTGCATTTTGGTTAACTTGAAATTTAACTTTTTTTCTGGCGGCGGTGCACTGTCTCGTTCCATTATATTTGTAATATATTCACTTTTACTGTCACTCATATTTCATTAGAAAATATATATCGTTATTACAACGGTCCGTTCAAAACAACATAATATACAATATACATAGATGTAACAATATAATCAACGGAATATACAATCAATTTATTTATACGCAACAAAATAGGTGTACATATTATACGTTTATAAATCGTATAAAAATAGATAAGCCGATACTGCGCACATAGAGAGGAAATCGCCGAACTTCGGAGAATTGAGAATTTTTGTGGTGGGAGAACACACAGTTGCGTATCGCAAAGTTGATATTATCATACCTATTTATTTTGTCATGGCTACGGCGTGACGTCGCCACGCCACGGTCGGTCTCGCTACTGTACCGCGCCATAAGATGTTTCACATCAAAACTTTTTTAGTAAAAATGTACGTTTTTAAATAATATACATACACGAATAATAAATAAAAAATGTAATGGCATTGTAAATTGTTTATCTATCAAATCATTATAATTTTAATCGTTCATTAACAGAGAGCTCACAAATAATCGACCACCATAGATGATGTTCTTGATCAGTGATTACATTGCCATGGAGACGATCAATATTATACTTTCCATATTATAGTAAGGGCTGTTTTTAGGGTCTTCCCAACAATTATTCGAATTTTTCTCGCTGTAAAAACCATCCTTGGACTTCAACGAACATTAAAAAAATAATTGGCCAAATTGGTCCAGGCGTTGTTGAGTTATGCGCTTACCAACACATTTTGCGATTAATTTTTATATTATAGACTATGCAGATCTACTTCTATAAATCAAAATCTAAATTATCACTTTGGCAGTTTGGCATCATCTTCAAATACTCTACAAGAATAAAATTATCTGGCGTAACATTAAGATTCCTAAAGATTAGGTCAATATAAATTGTATTTTTTAATTTATATTATTTTATAATTTGTGTTCTATTCGTTTTTATAATTTGTAGATAATCTTTGTTTCTAACTTTGTAATAGGTACCATAATTATATCTATAAATGCATTTTATTAAGAAGTACTTATTAAACAACTAGTAAGTAAAATTACCTTTTCTTTGGACCATTTTTTAGCTGGACCACTAAACAGTTTTGTTTGAATTTCTGTTGTTTTGGATACATCATGTCTTTTCCTTGCTTTTTTTTACTTTTTGCATCAATGAGTTATGTTTGAGCTGTAAATGTATAGGTAATTTCTTTATAATACTTATAATAAAGAAGACCATTCATGGAATTAACTATTTTATTTTGGAAATAGGAAATAACTAAATAATATTAATATAAATAACTGTATTATATTACAAACAGTGTGCAAAAACAAATATATCATGACCTGTGATTATTTACTGATAAATTCTATAATAATCCTAAAAGAAGCGTCAAAAACAGCCTCCTCCCAAGACACCCCACTTCTCAATTGTGTACACATACGAAGACAAAAAGAAACAAACCAAACAAGTCCTAAACCATGAATGGCTCAAAATGTGAACTAACCAAAGCACAAATTTAAACCAAATAAAAAACAACATACAAACATGGCTCAACCCAGGACTAAAAAGAAAAGAAGAAACTATACTAAATCGTTTACGAATAGGACATACATTTATCACGCACAGGCATCTCATGGAGAAAAACGATCCTCCCATATGTGAAATGTGTGGAGTGGTCTACACAGACAAACACATTATCACTGAATGTCAAAAATACGAAGACATGAGGAAAAAACACCAAACACCACAGCAAATCGAAGAAGCACTCGGACCTGACCCTCAATCAATCACCAAAATCCTACAATTTATTAAAGAAATTCAGCTATATAACCTAATGGCTATAATATAAGTCAACCATAAATTTGTAAAATAATTTAAGTTAATGTCAAACTAATGAAATAGAAGCCGATGTTATATAGTTCAATAAAAAAAAAAAAAAAAATCCTAAAATAACAATGTATTTGTATAAAATGTAGTAGTAAAATATACAAAACTTACTTTAATGTGGCTTAAAAAGTTTCCACTCGAATTAGTTGATCCATTTACAACTTTTTGGCAGTTTTGACATATAGCTGACAGTTTTTTACCTTCCACAGTTAATAGGTACTTTATAAAAATCATTAAATAAGTATTTAAAACTAAGAGCTTCAAGAGGTGCTTGGTTAGATTTGTCTATTATTTTCTTCAGTTGCCACCGTTTCTAGATCTAGACGAATTTTTTTCGTAACAAAACGGTCCATGATAAAAGTTTACAGTATACAAACACAACAGTCAGCACTTACTGGTCAGTAGGTACTCAGTAAACTGAAGGATGCCGATTACATACGCACGCACACTCAGGGATGGGCAAGATACTCAAAAATCAGTATCGAGATAGTAGATACTAGATACCTGGATTTGGAGTATCGAGATACTAGATACTCGATACTTGGCTCTAGAGTATCGCGATACTAGATACTCGATACTTGACTTTGGACTATTGCGATATAAGATACTCGATACTCGATACTCAATACATTTTAATAAAATTAGTCACTGGATTTTTAAAAATGATGTTTATTATTGTGGGTATGGCCACTTCATTAAGAGGACGCCTCACCCGCATGTGTTGTCACCGTCTTACACACATACGACATAGCAAATTTTCGTTGGTTAGTTTCAATATGATATTGTCAGTTTTTATATAAGAGTGAATTGACCTATTATCAAACTTTTAGGTAACAACATAATCTGTGTTCTCTCGTTGGTTTTTTACGATATTTTAATTTTTAAGTGAATTATGGGTATGTAAAGTATTCATATTCTAAAATGTTCATAACTCACTTAAAAATTAAAATATCGTAAAAAACCAACGAGAGAACACAGATAATGTTGTTACCTAAAAGTTTGATAGTAGGTTGATTCACTCTAATATCAAAACTGACAATACCCTATTGAAACTAGCAAACGAAAATTTGCTATGTCGTATGTGTGTAAGACTGAGACAACACATCCGGGTGAGACGTCCTCTTAAGTAATTAGAATGAAAAATAAAATAAAAACATTGACACTTTCAGTAATAATAATACATTAGTCACTTTTCAAAAGTGGTTTCTGACTATAGTAAAAATAATCGTAAACAATTAATTTTTCAAAGTATCGCGTTAATGTATCGAGTATCTTTCGATTAAATTAATTCATGAAATACTCGATACATTGACTAAAAATGTATCGTGATACAAGATACTCGATACTTCACATAATTGTATCGAGATACAAGATACAAGATACAAATGTATCTAAGATACGTATCTTAGATACTTGTATCGAAGATACTGCCCAACCCTGCGCACACTACATGTCTAAACATTAAACAGTCCTTTTTGTATGGAAAGCTATTTTTAGTGTTTTTCCAAATGTATAGCCTAGGCGAATTGTTGAAATCGTCAACCATTAATACCCGCATCGTTTATAAATAGGTACTAGTATAGTAGTATTTATAATCAATGATACCATGAATTAAATGTCGATAATATAATATAATATTATTTATTCTACTATTTTGTGTGGCAGAAACGCTGCGATTAAAAATTAAAATATATCGCCTAGTGTCTAATGTCCTAGTTTATAAGTCTAAAGCCATTTAGGTCTTAGGTTATAACTCATTATGAATATAATATGTACTGTTGGATAATGTTCTGTCCTCGGCTTTGATAGAAAATGTTAGTAAAAAAATTAATATTATTCATGAAAAATGTATACAATTTAAATAAATTTATCTAGATAAGAAATTATGTCATCTTAGATAACAAATAGATAAATGACAAAATAGTTATCTAGATAAGATAATAGATGAGTAATTTTTTATCTAGATTATTATCTAGATAAATTTATCTAAATAAGTCTCAACAATGATCCCTACATATACTACTAAGGGCCAGTTGTACCAGTCTAATTTAAACTAGAGATTATCTAAACTTGGTTTAAAAATTAAACTGAGCTTACAATTTTTATTGCGGTTCAATGGTAGTTTACTAGTAACTATGTTTATCAGAGTGGTTAGTGGATTCTACGGATATTAGGAAAACTACACCACATCAATAGTATTACTATCAGTGTATCAGTTTAAAAACAATAGCATAACAACATTAATTCAGAATAATATTAATCTTTTATAGTTGTGAAAAGTTTAATTTATTTATTTAATCTTTTTGATTTCATACAAATACAATATTATTTTGTAATACATTAGATTTATTTAGAAATGACACCAATTAAAATAAGTCATTAACTTTTCCTTAAAGAAGAGAAAACCTTTCTTGCTCGGGTTAAAAAAAAAAATATTCATCAACGATTGAATGCAAAAAAACAGATGTAAACTCAAATAAACTAAGAGTAGCCTAGCTCTTATGAACAATAAGTGATGGAATTTAACAGCTTTTGTGGTGAATGTTATCGATCACCCAAAACTCTTCAGAGTAGGTTGTCAATGTATATGATATTATTATAGAGTTAGTTCCCTTACCGTATTACATTAATTTCCATTAAAATATGATTTAAAAATTTGTTGAAAGTTTAAAATTGTTCAAGTAAACTTACAAGACTTTCATGATTTACAATGATAAATAGGTGTTCCAAAATATAATTGTAAATTTATTTAAAATAATTAAAATCTCACAATATAGGTCGCCTTAAAATTGTCCATTAAATTTAAATATGAAGACAGATAAGTACACAATTTATTCATACAAATATTTTTCAATAATTTTGAAGAAGAGGGTTACACTAGAAGAAATAAAATTAAACTGATAAAAATATATTTAACTACCTACCTAAACTTAAAATTAATATTTTTTTAACTAACCTAGTATTTAAAATATATGTGAAGGTAAAATAATTATGAATTGAAGATTTAATTTAGAAATAATGAAAAGGGAAGTAGCAAGGAAAGTGCCTAGGAAAACTAAAAATTGATTATAACAATATCGCAATGCTCTCTATTTATTTATTATTATGTATTTCTACCAAGTGTTGGGCATTGAAATTTAAGTGTGGCTAGTATAAGTAACTTCACATCACGACATTAAATTCAAAGCCACTGCTATGCAACTCACTGCCGAGACATTTGTGTCATCGTTTTAACTAGCATTAACGGCGGTGTTCGATGTACGCGCCCGTTCTCGACACTATCGAGTCCATCGTGAAATATATATCCAGAGAATCGGCCATTGGGTTGTATGTGCCGAGACCAACAATGTTGCGCAATATTTGCTGGCCATCTGAAAAGTACGTGACGCACAGAAACACCAGCTGCACATGCACTACCAGCACCAGCAGCAACGTATCGACAGTGCCTCTGCTGCCAGAATTAAGCCAATTGTGGCACGCGCTTGTTACCAGTCCATACACCAGTGAAAACCGTTTCCAAGTGAGTAAGTCGGTATACACCAGCCTTTGATACGTATTTGACGGTGCCATCTATGTGCGTGACATTACCATATCAATACCATATACAATATGGGTAATGTACAACAAACAAGTTTGAATTAGTTATAACAATTACAGGCACTTTTCTGTTTTACCGGACACACTTTTGTTTGCGATTGTTCTTGTTATTACATATGTAGTTAAGCATGCTGAAAATGATGGTTAAATCAGAATTTGATGATGGACTTAGTTTATAGTTACCTATAGCTAACTTAAATGTATAGTATTTTCGTATACTTCCGGCGGCAACGTGGTCTTAATTTAAATCGAAAACTTCCCTCAAGTTGTTATGTAAAACCATTTTAGGTGGGTCCGGAATTCAAAACTAAGTCTGATCACCAAATTCTGACTTTACCATAATTTTCAGTATACTTGACTTCATACGTTAAAACAAAAACAAAAATTCAATAAAAAGGTGTCCAGAAGTAGTTTTAAGTATAAGTATGACAAAAGTATATCTATTTATTGTACACTTAAATTATAATATGCTTTGGATGAAGAGTAGTAGCGGGAAATATATACAAGTATCTATTTTCTCTTTCAAAATATGATCTTAAAAAATGATTGGACACCTACCAAAAGAAAAAAAAAATTTTTATTTACTTAACTTTAATAAATATCTAAATGTTATAAGACTATACCTATTGGTACTTGTAATTATTATTTATTGTTATTCTATATTACTATAATGACAATCCTCGAAATTTTTTTTGAAGTAACATAACAAAAATAAAAATTTGAGGAAGGCGTGTGTGCGACTCTATTAAATAATTTAAATCAAACATTAGATATCAAATTTGTTTTATATTCAAGTAAAACTGACAAAATCTGCGTTAAGATGCCCGGCCTTAATGCCATATTTCCTCAAAAATATACTCTACAGTATATGGGTATAATTATTTTGTAATGTAGAATCAACTAAATTTGATTATTTATTTTGTTAGGTAATCAATAGAGGGAAATATTTTACAGTTTGTACTGAACTCCGTTTTTTAATATTTTAATCCCAAATCTTATAAATTATAGTATGTTTAAAAAAAAAGAAAATTTTAAACTTTTATGACAACTTATTGGAAATAAAATAAAAATCGGAATTCATTAACTACGGGAATGTAGAAAGTCTTCTTCTGTCAAATAAAAATACAGTCCATTCTTCGAAAACTGAAAGTTTTCCCTTTGAAGTCATTTTTGTTAATCTATTTATTATATATATATATTATATTTATAAGCCAAATACAACTCACTCGGTCATTCATCGTTACATCTCAAAAACTACAAAATGGATAAACTTAAAATTTAGAACAGTGGTTCCTCTAATGATCTAGATGTGCAATAAGGATTTTCCGATATTTACATTTTAAAGAGGGATCTTGAGGTTCATGATGGATATTGTGTTTTTTTTCTTTATAAATAGTTGCTATTGGTCGCAGATTATAAGAGTATAGTTTAAATTAGTATCATATTTTTTATTTTTTTTTTGGATATAGGTAATGGTTGCCATTGGGTACTCTGGTAGATCAGGTACAAGCATACATCAAATTGTCGCGCTTATAGACTCGAATGTATGTGTGTTGCTTATATACTCAAAATCTACTAAACTGAATTTGACAAAAATCTAAGAGACTGTTTTTAGAGATGTCAAAAATGTCAGGGAGTAAGTAGTTTAAACCACTTTAAAAAATATACCAAATTCGCGGTTGCCTATATAGGTCAAGTTATTTCCCAAAGCAGGGTACACTGACGCCGGTTTGTTCGCGGAGTTTTGTAGGTACACAAAAACAGAGATACACTCAAACCGAGATACACGTATACCTATAGCTTATATATTAAATAGGGTTTGCAGCAAAATAAACTGCACACAGGCCAACCCGGGATATTTAGCTATTTGGTATGTTAATATACGATAAAGCACCCTATAAATAGATATTGGGCAATAGACTTAGTAGAAAACTGGAAAAGTATTATATTATAGTACTTAATTATTAAGAGGATGTCACCCCCGCAAACCCGGGATATTTAGCTATTTGGTATGTTAATATACGATAAAGCACCCTATAAATAGATATTGGGCAATAGACTAAGTGGAAAACTGGAAAAGTATTATATTATAGTACTTAATTATTAAGAGGATGTCTCCGTCTTACAAATGTACAACATAGCAAAAACTGTTTTGCGCGGGGCAACTTTTATCTTTCTGTGTTTGTGGTAGTGGCTCCAAAATTTCTGAACATATAGGGTGGAAAATTATCTATGCAATATCTACCCATATTTTAGATAACATAAATACAATAAAAGTTATTTGCTTCTAAAAATTTGTTTTTTTTTTAATTTTCTTATAAAAATTGATTGGATAGTGCTATTTAAAAAAAAAAACACTCTGTTGCACAGATAAAATTCTTCTTTACGTGTTGTGAAAATTTGGTAGTTTTACAACAAATATGGTGCGAGAAAGTTGTCCCGCGCAAAACAGTTTTTGCTATGTTGTACATTTGTAAGACGTAGCCAACACATGCGGAGGTGAAATCCTCTTAAGGCAACTAAAATATAAAATAAAGTTTTTTAATTTTACAAAACTGATAGTCAAATAGATAATCGATAGGTACCTACCGAACCTCTCAAAAAATAACCCATAGACTATAACTATAAATATTTATGTTTTCAGTTTTCATTCGTATAATCGTGCCAATATATAATTCTATATACTTTAATTGCATTATATGCATTAATAAGTAATGTTTTTTTTTACATTTGAGTAAATTTACTCTTTAGTTAATTAATTTGTTTAGGTATATGCATTATATACTATAATATATGTGGTAGAATACGCAGTGTCCAAAACATTTAAATAATAAGTTTTTCTTTTTTATCATTGTTGATGTAATTTGATTTTACAATTATTGAATATTTTATGTATGCTATAAAAACTATACATAGATAATACTATTTATTGTGCGATACTATAACTGTTCAATATAAAAACATTATAATATGACTGGTTATTATATTATTTAAACGAAACCTGATTGACCGGAACAACGAATCTGTAACTTCCCTCCCTCTCCATAAAGAAACAAATAAATGATCTGTATAATATAATTCGCGCCTCACCAATATGAGTGTGGTCAGGCAGAGCAACAGTAACATAGAGACTTGTATCGTCGTCTTTTCGTATTTTTCGTAGCACATGGCTTCTGACGCGGCTACCAGAACCAAGTGGCCGATGAACAACATTGCTTTGTAGAAGCAGTTGGACCTTGTCCAAAACAGATGTTGCTTGACGACGAACGCGGCGACGTTCAAGATTATTTTGGACGATAAGTAGTACTGGGTCGTTAAGACTACAACGTTGCTGGACAGGATCAGCCTTTCGAACAATAACAGCAGATACCAGCATGCCGTAAAATTCATTGCATAGGGCGCCACGTACATGGCGAATGAGGAGACGTTGGCCGTCGCCAAATGAATAGCGCGTGGACTTCGTGCTACTAAAAAGTATAAGAGTATGGTTATTCCAGCAACCATTGATGTGCATACCAAAATCTCCCCCGCAAACAGTATGGTCCTGGCCGTTGGGGTTGAGCTGTCGGTAATGGTATTCATGTTAAAATAATTTTTTTTTTAATTTTTAAATTTTAAATTTTAAAGCATGGTTATATACTATTTATAAATAAATAAATAATATAAATGTATACATCCTGGCGTGTAAACAAGTTATGAAAACCAATGGTGACAGACTTTATCGCATTGCAGCAGATGATAATAACATACCAATAAGTATTACAGTATCGTTATATTCGGTTTTTACTTTTTAGACATTATTATATCATTATCATTAGTAGTATAGAATGGATAAACAGTTCTGACACAGCCACTTTACCACACTAAAATAGTATACATACCCAACACACTGTTACATGCGGCCCTTCAGGGATCCAAAAGCTTGTTGCACTTTTACAATAAAATGTAGTCAATTTAAATATAAATCAATTGTAATTTATTATAACCAATAATAATTAATATAGTCGTGGTGAATTGGAGCGTCGTGAGTTGACTCGTTGTAGTAGTCGATAATCTCCATGTAAGTCGTGTGTAATGGCTGGTGGCTAAGCGGCTCGCTCGGTCTTGGCGGCTCTGGTACATCTAATTTGTATTGGGGCCCTAGCCTCTATATATACGAATATACGAAGGCGACGCCCTTTGAATTGAGCGGCGCGTGGCATGCAGGCGCCCTTGGGAAGTTGTTGTGATTCGAAGCGTCTATTCTAACTATGACCACTTTTGGGTGCGGTCGACGAGGCCGCTTTCTACATAAGTAGTACTTGTTATTGTGAGCGTTGTACATGAATTGCGTAATCCCATTGCAACACGCATCACAAATTATCACTCACGTTTTATCCCCATCGAGATAAACAATATGATGGAGCCCAGCTTTTCCTATCACAATATGAAAAAGAACGAACAGTCTGAATAATTAACTGCCCCAATCAGTTGTGCCCAAATCCCAAGTGCAAGAAATAAACTACGCCCACTGAAATCTACATGAGAATTCTTAGTTTTTTTATTTATAATAATAAACAGAAGTATCACAAAAATAGAAAAACCAATGCACAGTAATATTTTAATAATAATAACTCAAATGTTTAACGAAAAAATACACTTGATAAAATATTTATGAATGTTTACGCTGATTGAGGAATGATCTTAACAGAACGGAGGATCCTTTGAATAATTTATTTTTGTATTTATTTCTATAAATCAAATTGTTATACACTTATTATTTATTCAATAACAAAATCAAAGTCTAACGTTCTGTTAAAAAAAATAGGTAGGCACGTGTATGGATTTTTTTAATTTTATAATGTTTAATATTAAAATAGTATAATAATTAACAAATAGAAAATAAATCATTTCTTTAATAATAATAATTCTGATTGTATCATGAATGATGAATAGAAGGAAAAAAATATTTAAAATTTCAAAAAAATTTCAAATATAATAATTACTTTTTTTTATACATTTGAAAGTTCTGTCATATAGAGAATTTTTGATTTAGAATGCACGTTTATGGATCCAAATGAATTGGAAAAAGTTGATAAATCCAAAAGGATTGTCAAAATAGGGATTTCCATTAAAAAATATAAGAGTTAAAAAAATGTAGGTGAAAAGAATTTATGATTTCATAGTCTAGTTAAATAATAAATATCACGCAGAGTTTAAAAATATGAAAGGTACTGAGTTATAAAGTGAACTTAATTTCCGCGAATACACTGTCGCAAGGCCATGGTGAAACCGCTCTTAGAAATGCAGGTCTTCACATGACAATGCACAGAATTTACGTATTTTTTTTTTTTTTTTTTTGCTGAACAGTATATAGTATTACATATATTACATAGAATACTTTATAGTTTATACTATAGCTTACAAGGAAAATACGGGAACCATGAATATAAACAATTATTCCTATCTTGTATGCAAACTGTACTGACTTTGTACTGACCAACGTCAACGAGAACAGGTTCCACAATTTCACTGCACACAAACATATAGAACCAGCAGTTAAATATATCAATGATATTAACCCAAGAATATGCCAGTTAATAATAGAGGCACAGTGATTTGATATAAGTTTTATTAGTGTATATGTTACGGGCAAAGTAGGAAATCCGGGCATTGTATAACAATGCCCGGGCACTGTGCACAATGCCCGAACATTTTGGCCAATGTAAGAATGAATATTTTTATACTCAAATTTGTCATACATTGACCGGGCTTTGTACTAGATTGCCCGGGCAAAGTGTACCCTATCCAGATTCAAGTGGGCAAAGTGAATTATACAGTGCGCCTGTGCGCTGCACACTTTTATATCAAATTGCATTTACGGAATAATATCACTACAAAACTATAATTATATATTTTATTCGTACACGGTACACAACATTACAACAACGCGACAGCTGCGATAGTACGAACCGAACCGTAATCTAAACGATAAAGTGATCACACAATATTGTAGATAATATTTCATAGTTGAATCGTTAAATTCCTATTCGATATTTTCTAATGATTATTGTCACGACGGCGACGTCGCGTAGTCTGACATTGTAGTGTAGGTTGTGCAGTTGCGTGTAGTCTTATTTTTTCTTTTGGTCAACGTTTTTAACTATTTTCTGAGTATTTGTGTACTATTTTCTAACATAAAATGGAAAAAAAGTTTAATGAGAAGTTTAACAATTTATTCTTAAACAAAAATGCAAATGCTGTATTTTTAAATAAAGTAAAATACGATGAATTAATTTTAAAAGTGAATAATGTGAAAACTAAAACCACAAAAAAGACTGCAGATGATTACCAATTAATTAAAAAATACAATGTTGTAAATATATCAGGGATTGAAAAGTTAGTAGTTCCAGTATCCGAAGGTAATTTAATTAAGTATTATGTTTACAACGAACAATTGTTTCAACTTCTTAATGAAACACATACATCTGTGGGACATGGAGGTAGAAACCGTATGGAGTATGAATTGAACTTGAAATATAAAAATATAACAAGGGAGACTATAATGATATTTTTAAATTGATGTGACCACTGTCAAAAAAATGGCAGTACAATTAAAAAAGGTTTAGTTGTAAAACCAGTGGCGTCATTTGGGGGGGGGGCAAGGTGGGCATTTGCCCCTGTCTGATTTTAAAAGCGGCCCGAAGGGCCGGTGACCAGTTTTTGCCGTTTTACCATTATTATTTTTTATCAGCGCAAAAACATGTCTATTTTATATTATAATATTTTCAGAAAATATTATACTACCCATGTACTCAGAAATTATTGTCACTATGATACATTTTTTCTAATAATTGATAGTTGGAATATATTTATATTTAGACGTATGCGGGGACGTACACATTGTATGTAGATATGTTTGTTTGTGTGAGTGTATAACAATAATAATAATGATTAATGAGTATCGTAATCCCGTATAGTTTTATTTCTAAAATCTAAAATTAATACAAATTCTAAAAACAACAACCGATTGGCACTCTTATTAATTATCATTGTCCATTGATACCAGACTTCATACGCAGTTAACTTACGAGTTGCGACACTCGTGTATGGTAAACTATTCAACCATTCTGCGTATTGTGTTGTGTAGCCAGGGCCGGGTTGGACAAATTCGGCCCACCGAGTTTTCCGTACTTTACCAACCCACTTAAAAACTGGCGGCCCTTGGGTACGCTCTTATTCCGTGCATAGTTATTTTATTTTATAGTCTCCATTTCTACAACTTTTAAACTCTTAACATATTTTTAGTCAATGCGGCCCCTCATGACTTGAACGGCCCAAAATTGTCACGGCCCGCTGAGTTTTACATCGGTAACTCGCCGGGTCAATCTGGCCCTGTAGTGTACCTTATCCTAACTAAATTAAAATTTATTTTTTCGTGACGCGTGTTTACATTAATCTTTCAATTTGAGCAAAATATGACTTAAAAAAAAGTAAATGGGTGGTGTGGTTAAAAATATAAAATTACCGCAAACCGCTCAAGAATCGAAAACAATTTCTGGTATGTTTAATAAAAATACGAAACTTAAACCAGTAAGCACTAAGCAAGCAATAAAAAATAAATAAATATTATAATTTAAAATAATATTAATTTGAAAATATATCGTAGACATATAGAGTATAGGTGATAAGTGATGAATCAGGTAAAATTGATTTATAGATGATGCAGTTGATATATTTTCATAAAATAAAAAAAAAGAAGATATCCTTTAATAAGCTACTAATATTTTTGTTTATCAATAAATATAATATGCTAATATGCTATATTATGTTTGTAGACTTTTAAGTTTTAATTGATGTAGGTGTACAATTGTTTTTTATAAAATATCTGCCACCTTCTATTTAAAAATTATATTACCTAATTAATAAAAAGGGTTGCATAAAAAAATGTAGATAATATAACGAGCGAAGCGAGCGGTTTTTTTTTACCTATTCGGGCCGGTCAAAACCTTTGCCCCCCTCTATTGAAAACTGAAATGACGCCACTGTGTAAAACCTATACTTTCATCAGAATTGAACTCTCGCTGTCAAGTGGATTTAATAGACATGCAAGCTCAGCCTGATGGCGATACAAGTTTATAATGGTCTATCAAGATCACCCTACGAAGTTCGTAATTCTTAGACCGTTAACTCATAAACGGGCTGAAGAAGTAGCCTACGTGTTAATTGATATTTTTACAACATTTGGAGCCCCGGCAATTTTGCAAAGTGATATGGAAGGGAATTCGCCAATAAAGTTATTATTGAGTTGTGTAGTATGTGGGAAGAACTTAAGATTGTCCACGGAAAGCCTAGACACTCACAAAGTCAAGGGTCTGTTGAAAGGGCCAACCAAGATATTCAAAATATTCTCGCAACATGGTTAGCCGATAATAATTCCAGAAAGTGGAGCGAAGGTCTTAAATTTGTTCAATTTATGAAGAATCGGAGTTTTCACCATGGTACAAAACGATCGCCATACGAAGCTATGTTCGGAACACATGCTAAAGTTGGCCTAAAATCAACCCAAATTCCAACCGATTTAATTTCTACTTTAAAATCGGAGGAAGATTTAGAAAAAGCTCTAGGTTGTGGAATTAATATCGAAAACATAAACGAGAAGCACGAAAAAAGTGATGGAAGTGATAAGAACAGTGCAAAACAACTTTTTTCTAATGAAGATGAAAACGATCAAATAAAATTGAGAATAGAATCAATTTCTTCAAATCGATCGAATGCTGCTGAAAATCTTAAAGTACAAGCTAACAAAATGAAGAGTTCATCGGAAGAACGTTTTTTTCCAGGAAAAGAAGGAGAAAATGTTAAAATAAAAATTTCTGATGTGGTTCGAGCAAGATGTGATCTTCGGTGTATTCTGGGAGTTATACCTTCTGGTAATTAATCTTAAAATTATAAAAGAATTTTTATGTTAATAATTTTTTTATTATAGTAAACGATAACTTGTATGAAATTGGAACAAAAGAGGGCAGACTACATCAACTATACAGTCGGAATCAATTCACAATATGCAAAGAGGTGTTTATCCAGGCTGATGATGTACCACCAGTACAACCATTACCAACCTAGCTATTCAACTAAATATTTATTATTTTCAATAATTAGATTATTAATATTATTATTTTTAAAACTGGATACCTGGGTAGAAATAGGTAGGTAACAAAATATGCAAAGTAAGAAAATATACATAAAAAGTAAATTTTTTTATGTCTAATTTATTTTGATTCCTAAAGAAATATGAATAAAATTGTATACTTATGTTAGAGATCCAATATATTTTGTTTTAGAATATATACATATATCGAATATCTTATTCTGTTTAAACAATTTTTCTATGGATAGCTAATGATATTGAAATCAAAACTCTGCCCTTTTTATTAAAATTAAGAGATGATAAAAGAATTGATACCCATTATTTGCCACAGAGCTCGATTCATTTCAAATCTAGATCGGTGGAGAACTATTATAGCTTCAGGAACACAGACAACTTTTGATATAGTAAGAAAATTAAATTAAATTTGACTGTTTGTGTTAGTGTTTTTTTTTTTATTTTACTCAAATGAAGTTTTGTCTTCTTGATATTCATTTTACAATAATAGTTTGAAAACTTATTGACCTTTGACATATCAAAGTGTGGTAAAATTAACATCCAGCAGCTTTATTTCTATTCATTATGTAACATTGATACTTATAACCTTAGATTTTGGTTGGCACTTATATATTAAATATTTTAATATGAAATACAATTTAAAAATTCATTTTTAGGTAACTGAACCGGCAAGTTATTCCAGTTCTCCAATTTCAGATAGCTGTTTATCAAAAGTGGAAATTAGGAATGGATTTATTACTCATTTGTTAAGTAATGCTGAAGTAGAAGAAACTATTTCCAGAAGAAGGGAGAAATTGGTAGGATTTGGCAAAACCTTACAACCATTCATAATTATAGTTGGTCCATCTCTAAAAGAAAAGTATACTTATTAAGTTGTAGTTGATAATACTTTCTATCATTTAAACTCCATAACAGCATCGGTTGATTGTTGTTTTAAAATTATAATTATACTTAACGCAGAATATATTATTTTATATATTTGTATTCAATATTTTTTTAAATATATTATGTGTGAAATAATTATAATAATATTAATATATAAGTAATAATAATATGTATATTTATAAATCAATATGTATATTTATTTAATTTATATAAACTAATAAATAAAATTAATAATTTTGAAAATTAATTTTATTTGTATTTTATTTAACCAAACTTTAAACATTGTGTTTACTGAATAGTAATATTGTAACAACAAAGTACTTTTGTAACAATAACTTTCAGACATACAATTTCAACAAGTGAGTTTTGTAGTACCTTCCAAATCATTTGTAGTATAAACATACAAATATGTATGTTGAAAGTGAAGCTTGACGGACTAATGATTTTAGCATTAATATAATAAGTAATAACACGACAATATGATTATGTATAAGTATAATATATAATAACGTACAATTGGACAATTAAACTGTGACTGTACACACACACCGCGTACACTAGGTAAGACAGCGTATGTGCAAGTGATTATTACATACATCAAAAGCCCTATTTATATGAACATTCGAGGCCATCCCGTATCCGTATATAATATAGAAAGCGATAGTAAAGGTGTTGCACAGCTATATCGTAACTGCATAAGTATCTATTAGAAAACGACATTGTACACGAACGTGTGTTTACATGGTTTAAATACTAATATTAATTGTATATTTCAACACCCTCCGTCAATTAATAATTTCTTTAATTTTAGTCACTCCTACAGCTGACCGCAATTTCTCGAAACGTTCCTTGACCAAAGGCTTTGTTAGAATGTCTGCAATCTGATCCTCTGTTCCAATGTACAGTATACAATATACATAGTTGAAATTGTCCTTCTTCTTATTTCTCCCTTATGAAATATCGTACGTCTATGTGTTTGTTCCTCTTATGAAACTCAGGATTCTTAACTAAACGAATAGCACTCTGATTATCAATTAATAATACAGGTTGTTTATCACCTGTTTTTGATAAGCTTATTATCAACCGCATAATCCACATGATCCCTTTTATAGCTTCACTGGCCGAAATATATTCAACCTCTGTCGATGACAATGACACACAAAGTTGTCTCTGTGATGTCCATGAAATTATGCTTGAGTTGACCCGTATCTGAATAGAAATCCTGACGCTGAACGTCGTGTCTGAACGTCACCTGCGTAATCTGCATCGCTAAATATTTCTAATGACAGTTGTGTATTATGATTAAAATACAAGCCATAATTAAATGTTCGTTTGACATATCGTATAATCCGTTTTACCAAGTTCCAATGAGCTTTCAGTTGGTTTGCTAAGTAACGACTAGCAAAGTTTACTGCATATGCTATATCTGGTCTCGTTACCTGTGATAAAAACAGTAAGCTACCTACTGCCTGCCTATAAGGTATTTCTTCACTTAATATCTCCGATTCTTCCTTTTTTTCAATAGTATGTGATTTGTCTATCGGAATTGAAAGTTCCTTGGCGTCCAGCATATTAAATTTATTAATTATGCTACATGCATAATTTGTCTGATGCATAAATAATGAACCATTTTTCATTAAGTTTACCTGCATACCTAGAAAATATTCTAAGTTTCCCTTTTAACCTCAAACTCTTTCTCCAAGTTCGTTAAAAGTTTCTCTATTATATCTTCATTATCTGCCGCGATTAAACCATCGTCAACAAATATTGCAAGAATAATTTGGCTGTTATCAGCATTGAATACACATGCATCCGCTTCGGTACATTGTTAACCAAATGCATTCAAAAAGTTCTTAAAGCGTTTATTCTAACATCTTGGACTTTGACACATTTATACAAATTGTATTACTCTTTTTTTTGGAAACGTGAGGGGGGAAAGCCGAGCTACCTCGCTCAAGTTCTCCCCAATACAATTATATTATATACTTACAATATACATTATATTATACATTACATTATTACAATAATATAATAACGTATTACATTTTAAATATTTTATAAAAATTATTATTAAACCTATATGGTTTCCAGTTTTACACTTTTCAATGTCAAAACAAATGTGTAATATAATGCATAAGAAAAACAAATATATATATATTTATTTATATTTATAATATTTATAATATTTCGTAGTTGTATGTTATCAGCTATAGCCTTTATTATATTATTTTTTTGTACCAACTAGCTACTATGCCAATTGAGTTTAATTGTATTATAATTTAATATACCAACTGTATAACCTGTATACAGTAACTGTATAACTGTATATAATCAATTGTAACAAACTTTTCATAATTTGTTACTGAATTCTTTTGGACTCTTTCGATTTTCTAATAATGGTTGGGGGTGGTCGGCGGGTCAGCCCTCCAACCTTGATCGATTTTGAAACCTTTTTTAAAGCCTTGCTTATATATGTTTAAGCATTTGTAACTAAATTTTGGAACTGGACTTTCAGATAAAATTGGGTTTTCTTCGACGTCTTCAGCAAGTGGCATATTTGTTTCTGTCGGTCGATGACCTACAATTTTATTTGAAAACTGCATTTGCTCATAAAATTTGTATTTTTGAACAGGTTTCGCTGCTGAACCTGAATTGTACTCTTTAATTTTTTATCACATCTCATCCAATTATCTCTTGCATTATTCCATTTCTTTATAACATTTTTTCCTAAAATTAAAAACAAATAGATTAAAACTTAAAAATATTTATTTTTACAGGTACTTGGCATCAGGAAATACATTTACAGATATTCAATACATATTTAGAATTGGAATAAAAACAATAAGCTATATCGTTCGAGAAGTATGTACAACAATTTGGACTGAATTGTGTAATATATATATGAAAATTCCATCCAAAGACGACTGGTGAATGATATCTAATAATTTTGAAAGTGCTGCAAATTTCCCTTTATGCTTAGGAGCCATAGACGGTAAGCAAATTAGAGTCATAAAACCCGAACAAAGTGGATCAATGTTTTTAAACTACAAACACTACTTTTCCATCGTACTAATGGCCGTGGCAGACACTAACTATAATTATATTTTTATCGATGTTGGTGCATAATGGGAAAGAATGTGATTCAGCGGTATTCAAACAAACACAATTTTGGAAAAACTTATTAAATGATAGATTGAACATACCATCATCTACAAATAAACTAGGAACTGATTGTGATCTACCTTACGTATTCGTTGGTGACGAAGCATTTGCCCTACATGAACATGTACTTCGACCGTTTGGTGGTCATCAACTCGATGAATTAAAAAGTACATTCAACTACCGTTTGACAAGAGCAAGATGGTATGTTGAATG